TCGTTACGTAATAAAAATAACTTAGCCCCACCTGCCTTCCTCTTTTGTTTTATTTCTCTGTGAAGATCCATGATGGGGAAGAAAAATGGTCGTTGATAGGCTCCCTTAAAACGCTTCTTTCAAAGTGTGCAGAAATACAGTTGTATTTCATTTACTGATATTTCCATCTGGGAACCTTGCTCAAATTCTCACTAATGCTAATAACATTGTCCGATGATTCTCAGACCTTCTGAAAAGATAATCCTATCATCTATGAGTAATAAGAATGTTTTTGTTTCCTTTCAACTCTTTAGTTTCTTTTTCTCTTGTTTTGTTGTGCTGGCTGAAAACTTGCAGAAAGCCCTTAAATAAAAGTGATGATAGCAGGTATCCTTGCTTCAGGATTTTAAAGAGAATGCTTGTAGGGGCGCGTGGGGGGGGCTCAGTTGGTTGAGTGTCGCGCTTCGACTCAGGTCATGATCTCACAGTTTGTGGGTTTGAGCCCCACATCGGGCTCTTTGCTGATAGCTAGCTCAGAGCCTGGAGCCTGTCTTCAGATTCTGTGTCTCCCTATCTTTCTGTCCCTCTCCTCGTGCTGTCTCTCTCTCTCAAAAATAAATAAAACATACAAAAAAATTAAAAAATAAATAAATAGAGAATGCTTGTTAACTTTTCACATCGAGTCTAACATTTGTTAAAGGTTTTGTTTATCAGCACCCTTCATGAAGTTAAAGAAGTTTCCTGTATTTTCGATTGACTAGATATTTCTAACAGGGATAGATGCAGAATTTTTATAGAAGGCTGTTTAGGTGTCTGTTGAAATGATTATGTGATATTTTTTTCCTCCTTTAACCTGCTGATATGGCAAATTATGTGTTTTTCTATTGTTGAATCAGTGTTGTCAATTGCTGGATTCTGGATTTAGTATGCTAGTCATTTGTTTAGGATGTTTTGAATCTTTGTTCATGAGTGAGACTGGCCTATATAATTTTACTTTTTCAGACTGGTTTTGATGTAAGCTATGATGTATTCCCTCTGCTCTTATTTGCTCAGAGAGATTGTGTAAAATTGGAATGATCAGTTCCTTGAGTGTTGAATAGAAAATACCAGTGAGGCCATCTGGGCCTCAAGTTTTCTTTGTTGGGGAGATTTTTGTCTACTGACTTAAGTTCTTTAATAGGTATAGGACTATTCAGGTTTTCTATTGCTTCTTAGTCAGTTTTAGCAAGTTCCAGTTTTTCTAAGGAATTTGTCCGTCTCCCCCGAGTTTTCAAATTACTTGGTATAACATTCATAAAATCATCTTCTAATCTCTGCTGTATTTATAATCATGTTCTTTTTCCATTCTTCTTGTTATCAGTGCTTTCTCTTTTTTCTTAGACGTGATGGTTTCATATTCTCTTCAAAGAACCAACTTCCGGCGCTCTGTATTCTATCTTTGTTTTCTCCTTTATTAATTCATACTCTTGTATGATTTCCTGTCTTCTACTTTTTATTTATTTATTTTTAATGTTTATTTATTTATTTTGAGTGAGAGAGCGTGCGCCAGTTGTGGGGAGGGGAGAGGGAAGAAGGGAGGGAAGGAGAGAGAGAGAAAATGAATCCCAGTCAAGCTCCACACTGTCAGCACAGAGCCAAAATCAAGAGGCAGACACTTAACTGACTGAGCCACCCAGGCGCCCCAGCTATTTTTAAATTTTAGTACGTATGGGGAGTTTGGAGGTATCTGTTATTGATTTCTAACTTAATGTGGTTGTTAGAAAATCAGTCTTTAAAAGAATAGTATTTTTAAATTGACTCAAGTTTGCTTTATGGTCTAGAAAGTGTTCATTTTTCCTTATTGTTCTGTGTGGCTTAAAAAACTTATGTTTTCCTTGTCTTTAGATTATACTGTGTCCATTTGATCAGGTTTGTTAACAGTGTTATTCGAGTTTCCTATAACCTTGAGTCAGCTAGATTTATGAGTTATAGAAAACAGGTGTGTTGAAATACCCCACCGAGAAGTTGAGAGTTATTTCTCCTGGAGTTTTGTTATATTATTTTGAAGCTAAATTACTAGAGTAAACATTTAGAATTATTACTCTTTCTGGCCAATTTTTTTCCAATTTCAATTCCAATAATTCCAATAATTTAGAATTATTTTCTCTTTCTGGCCAATATAACTTTGCACAGGGATCTTTTTTTTCTTTCTATGAATATCTCTCTTCTTAAGCTCTGCTTCATCGAATACGGTGTAACCACATCGTTTTAAAAGTTTTCTTCATTCTGACTTTTATTCTTTTACACTGCTTCTGCAGCCTTCTGTCATAGATGTGTCCTTTGCAAACAGCATATAATTAGGTTTCTTGTTCGTTTTTAGTCCAATCAGCTTTACCTTTTAAATGTCTGGCAAGGTGGTACCACACGTGGCTGGTGGTGACTTAAAAAGCACTATAAAGATGAGATACATAAATGTTAAATATTTTGGATATATTGGGGTAGGTAAAATATATTGTTAAAATTAATTTCATCTGTTTCTTTTTATTTTTTTTTTATGTTTATTTTATTTTTGAGAGAGAGAGAGAGAAAAAAAACATGAGCTGGGGAGGGACAGACAGAGAAAGAGAGGTCGAATCTCAAGCAGGCTCCACACCCCCAGCACAGAGCCTGATGCAGGGCTCAAACTCACAAACCATGAGATCGTGACCTGAGCTGAAATCAAGAGCCGGACGCTTAACCAGCTGAGCCCCCCAGGCGCCCCTGAAAATACTTTCATTCCAGGAGTGCCTGGGTGGCTCAGTCAGTTAAGCATCTGACTTCAGCCCAGGTCATGATCTCACGGTTGGTGAGTTCAAGCCCCATGTCCGGCTCTGTGCTGACAGCCAGCTCAGAGCCTGGAACCTTTTCAGATTCTGTGTCTCCCTCTCTCTCTGTCCCTCCCCTGCTCGCGCTCTCTCTCTCTCTCTCTCTCTCTCTCTCTAAGATAAATAAAACTTCAAAAAAAATTTTAAGAGAATACTCTCATTCCATTCCTCTATTTGAAGGATACGATTCTGGTGGCCATTGTATTCTGCTAGCCCCTTGAAGATGCCTTGCTGAGAGGCCAGCTCCGGCCATCAGTCTAGCCATTGTCATCTATGGACTGTCTGCCTTCTCCACATGTAGGCCTCTGCGCCCGGGGATGGGCTGTCCTGACCCTCTGTGTCTGGGCATGGACTGCTTTCTCTTGACCCGGCTCTTTAGTCATCGACAGTTTTCAGCAGTTTGAGATGCTTTGCAGTGTTCTCTCTGCTTGTTTATTCTGGGATGTTTTCCGATCGCCCTTTCTAATGGAGGATGTCTCTTCATCTCTTCAGCTCTGCCCATCATTTCTTCTCCATCTTCCAGTTAGCTCCACGCCCTCCGCTGGGTTGCTTCCGCTCTGTTGTCTCGCCTAGAGAGTGGACGTTTAGATCTGTTCTTATTTTACAACTCTAAGGTCCTATTTTATTCTTTTTCAGAATCAGTTGTGATAGTCTCTCATTTATCAGATGCTCCCCCTTTTGCCAAATCTATCAAGCTTCCTATTCCATATGTGGTAATTCCGGGAGCCCGACGTCTCTGCTGACCCACACAGCGGCTGCTTTTCTGGTGCAGGTGGTGATTTGTAGTTGTGAGCTCAGTAATGCCTGAGAGCCATGTTTATGTTTTTGTTTAAGTTTATTTTGAGAGGGAGAGAGAGGGAGCTCACATGCGTGGGCACAAGCCAGGGAGAAGCAGAAAGCGGGAGAGAGAGAGACCAAAAAAAGGGGGGGGGGTGGAGAGAACCCCAAGCAGGTTCCCTCCGTCAGCGCAGAGCCCGACAGGGGCCTCAATCTCAGGAACCGTGCAGTCATGACCTGAGCCGAAACCAAGAGTCGGGACACGTAACCGACTCTGCCTCCAGGCGCCCCTGAAAGCTGTGTTTAAGATGCTGTCGTCCTGAGACTCTCTGTCCACCCCTGCTTGTCCCTGGGGCCACCATGACCTTGGGCCAGGGGCTTTCGGGCCGCTCCGCGGTGTGATGCCAGACACCCTTGGGCACTGGCTGTGCCGCATCAACAGCCACGCCGACGCCTAGGACACCGTATCCTTCAGCTGCTGCTTTTTTTCTGCAGTCCTTGGGAGTGAGTTTGGCCACGACTCTTGGGTTGTGTGGCCCCTCTTCTGATTTGTAAGTTTATTTTCACAGGACCTCCTGTGGCCTGAGTTGGGGGAAGAGGGTGTCCCCATGGGCAGGTGTGCATTTGCCTGCCTGGGGGGTTGGGCCTCCTGGGCCGCCGGCATTTATGTGAATTTCTTAGCTTAGGGTCTCTGCGGCGCGCAGGTAGTATGAATTCAGTGTGGACATGGGAATGTTCCCGTGTCTTGGGGTGGCTGTCCCACCCATGGCTCTAGACAGGTGGCGGCTTCCTTGTAGCGCCCTCAGGTGGATGGAGTTTTTATAGTCCCAGCGCCCTGAAGGGACAGGCTCCTGGCTGCACCCACTCTCGCAGCTCAGCTCTGGCTCCGCCACACCGCGACATCAAAGCCCAGCCCCCAAGGCCTGTGTCCCGTTCCAGCAACTCCCTGGGTCACCTGGCCTGTGTTCCAGCCCTTGATTTGACTTTGCGTTTGCTCTTGATTCTTGTATCTGGACCCTTTCTTTTATGCTCACGCATATACCTGTGTGGGGGGTAAGGCTTGGGGTGGGGGGAGATACTCGGGCTTACATTTTATGTGACATTTCTGTGTTGAGAGTGAGGGCAGGACCTCCCCAGAGCAGCTCGGTCCTCCCCAGGGCCCAGAGGCCCAGCCCCAAGGATGCACGGTTGTATCCTCACCCCTTCCCACCCTCCCCTGCGCTCGCTACCGTGTGACCTCATGCTTTGCCCCGAAGGCCCCGCTCACCCTGCTTGCTCTGGCTTCCCACTCCCACCAGGTTTGCTCGTAAACCCCAGTGACCGTTTCCTTGCCCGGACGTCTGTCCACCCCGGGGCCGCGGGGGCCTGATGCTGTGTGTTCATGCACTTTCCCTTTCTCAGGCTCGGGGCCCCCCGTTCCTGCCCCCGACCTCTTAATGCAGATCAAGCAGGAGGGCGAGCTCCAGCTCCAGGAGCAGCAGGCTCTGGGGGTAGAGGCCTGGGCAGCCGGACAGCCAGGTATCGGGGAGGAGCCATGGGGCCTCAGCCAGCTGGACTCCGGAGCAGGAGACGTTTCTGCAGGTCCCGCCTCTGGTGAGTGGCCGCAGCTAGAGCAGACGCCAGGAACAAGGGCGGGGGGCTGGGGGCAGGGTGTGGGAAAGGCCCTAGAAGCACATGGGGCTGTGGTCCCCCGGATCGCGAGCATCTGGCCTGACCCACTGCGGAGTTTTCCCCACCTGAAGGGAGGGGGCTGCGCCTAATGGTACCTGGCAGCCCCGGCCCGGCCCCGGGTTTGGTGATGCTCCCGTCTCGGTGCCTTTCTGCCTGACTCGATAGACTGCCCTCCTGCTCGCCTTGCCCTCGCCACGGGGCACTCAGGTGGCCAGCGCCTCACATCACAGAGGCCTGTGACGTCGAGCTTCCCGGTGCCTCAGAAGGGGGCCAAAGAGGGCGCGGGGCAGGTGGGGGTTGTTACACTCCCGCAGAAGCAGCCCGGGTGGGATCTTAGGGTCTCGGCTGCCCTTCCTTCCCCTAACCCACGGGCTCTGATCTGTCCTCACAGCAGGTGTCCACTCCAACTTTGCCACCACGATCCCACCCACTTCCTGGCAGGCGGATCTCCCTCCCCACCACCCTTCTTCAGCTTGCTCAGACGGGACACTGAAGCTCAACACGGCAGCGTCCACGGAAGGTACGGGGTGGCCGGCAGAGGACGGGAAAGGCTCACGTGTGCCTGGGAGGCTGCCTCGGCCCCGGGCCCTAGGCCCTGACTCTCAGCCAACAGGCCTTTACGTGGCCTGTGGTGGTCAACCCTGTATGGCCTGCTCTGTGTCTCCTTCCAGAAGCTTAAACAGCCTTTCTTGAGAATGTACGTGTGTCCGATAGTCCCTTTCTCATATGGTCTTAACCAGTCGACCCTGCTAGGCTGATCCCTTTGGAGGACGTACCTCCTGCCCAGGCTAAGCCAGCCTGGCTCCCTGCTGGCATCGGAAAAAAACCAAACCAAACCAAACCAAACCACAACGGCTTGTGAGGCATCAGCATTACCAAAGACAGGCGTCCGAAGGCCAGAACCAAATTTAGGTATTCGTTTTCTATTTACTTCTGTTTTGAAGGCCAGCTCTCTGTTACTTTAATCGTTTCCGCCGTATTTGAGCACCCCCCAAAATGTGCCAAAAGCCTAGGTCCCTGATATAAAACTTCAGGGTGCAAGATTCAAGCGCATCTATTATAAAAATCAAACACATTTTTACTGTTTTGCTAATATTGTTATCATTAGCCAGCTGGCCACATTGAATGCTTGCTGCCTTCCACATGGCATACTGAGCGCTTCCGGAAAGGCTATCAGGTTGAATCCTCATACCGGCCTGTGAAACAGGGTGTTCACACATGAGCTGTCGGCCAGGAATTTGCCTGAAGTCCACAGCTGGCCTGCTGGGGAGGTGCAGTAGGATCTCAGATCCACCTGAACGCAACGCTAGGTTTTTGCCCGTTGGGCAGGCTGCCACCAATGGTCAGCCTTAGGATGAACTCATTGTCAGCCTTAGTGGCCGGAAGTGAAAATGGACCGGGGTGAGCAAATGCCGTGGTCGCTTTTCCCGCGAAGGTCCTCACCCAGGGTCTGGGGTACCCACATGACTGCTGGGGGGGGGGGCGGATGGGGGGGCTCTGCCCAACGGGACCCTGAGGCCTGGGAGAGTAGGGCTGCCAGTTGTCCTGGAGCAGAGTCACTGCTGAACAGCCACGTGAAAGGAGAGGGTCTTCGGTTAAATAGGCTGGGGGACACAGCGATACCGGGTCTTTCTGTCTTTCTCAGCAGATGTAAAAATTGTGATAAAAACGGAAGTCCAGGAGGAGGAGGTGGTGGCCACGCCAGTGCATCCTACTGACCTAGAGGCCCACGGGACCCTGTTTGGACCAGGCCAAGCCACAAGGTTTTTCCCCAGCCCCGTCCAGGAAGGAGCCTGGGAAAACCAGGCCAGCTCCTTCCCCAGCCAGGACCCCGTGCTGGGGCTCAGAGAGCCCGCCCGGCCCGAGCGGGACATGGGGGAGCTCAGCCCCGCGGTGGCCCAGGAGGAGACCCCGCCGGGGGACTGGCTCTTTGGGGGGGTCCGCTGGGGCTGGAATTTCAGGTGTAAACCCCCCGTGGGCCTGAACCCGAGGACTGGGCCCGAGGGCGTGCCCTACGCCACCCCTGACAGCGGAGAGGCCGTGCTGGACCCCGGCCAGGCCCCGAGGCCCTTCGGGGACCCCTGTAAATACCCCGGCCGGACCAAAGGCTTCGGCCACAAGCCAGGCCTGAAGAAGCACCCGGCCGCCCCTCCGGGCGGGCGGCCCTTCGCCTGCGCCACGTGCGGGAAGAGCTTCCAGCTGCAGGTGAGCCTGAGCGCGCACCAGCGCGGCTGCGGGCCGCCCGACGGGGCACCCGGGGCGGCGGGCGGCGGCGCGCGGGACGGCAGCGCGCTGCGCTGCGGGGAGTGCGGCCGCTGCTTCACGCGCCCCGCGCACCTCATCCGCCACCGCATGCTGCACACGGGCGAGCGGCCCTTCCCCTGCACCGAGTGCGAGAAGCGCTTCACCGAGCGCTCCAAGCTCATCGACCACTACCGAACGCACACGGGCGTGCGGCCCTTCACCTGCACGGTGTGCGGCAAGAGCTTCATCCGCAAGGACCACCTGCGCAAGCACCAGCGCAACCACGCGGCGGGGGCCAAGGGCCCGGCCCGCGGCCAGCCCCTCCCGCCCCTCCCGGCCGGGCCCCCGGACCCCTTCAAGAGCCCGGCCTCCAAAGGACCCTTGGCCTCCACAGACCTCGTGACCGACTGGACTTGTGGCCTGAGCGTCCTGGGACCCAGCGACGGTGCGGACCTGTGACGCCCCCCTCCCCCCGCCCCGAAGCTGGGAGGTGGGGTGGGGGCGGGGGGACGCCCCGGTCCCCGGGCCGCTGCAGGCCGCGTGTGTAAGGAGAGCCCCCCTGGGAGACGTCAGGGCGGTGGTGGGAACGGAGCCCGGAGAAGCAGGCTTCCCAGCCCGCTGGACTGGTCCCTGGAAGAAGAGAAACTGTCTGACGATCCGGCTTCCACCTCTAAACAAAGTAGAATTCTCTGATTGTGAAACTGAGCAGCATAGAATTTTAAGTAATTTAATTATGAACACTTTTTTTTTTTTTAATTCTTGACGAAAATGCTGGAAAAATAGTCGTAGCGCCAGTTTAAACTTCATAGTGTACTTTCGGTTTGCGGAGCGTGTGTTTGTGTGGGCTGTGTCCGTACCGAGTCCGACACTGAGTGTGCGGGGAGTCGGCCGGCCGGGGAACACAAGTGAGGAGGGTCCTGGACCTCCCCTGCCCCACGGACTCCTGGGGAGGGACCAGTGGTGGCGCAGAGGTGAGAGCCCCCCGCCCCTCCCGCCACCAAGCTGTGCTGGGGGGGATGGGGGAACAGGTATGGACCTGGGGCTCCAAGCTCCTCGCATCGCCCCCCCCCCGCCTCAGCGTGGGAACCCCCACCACCCGTCAGCAGGGAGAAGGGCACCCCCGCTATCAGCCGGTCCCATCTCCCAGCTTGTCCCTCCATCTCAAAAGGCCCCTCCCAAAGTGCTGGCCTATTACAGGCCATCTGCGGCCCCTGACGGCAAGGGATCTGCGTGGTGTCCCCTGTTGTGGGACTCAGGGCCTCATAAAGGAGAGTCCCCTGCAAACAGAGTGTTAGGGCTGCGCGGGCGAAACCCCTGACCCTCAGTTACCAGCAGAGCCAGGAGCAAAGCCTGGCCTGCCGAACCCCCGTGGGGCCACTTTCCACTGCGGCCAAATGCCTCTCTTTCCTTTTCGCTGTGTAGTGAGTGTTTCTTCATTGTCAACATGCTTTCCCATCGCATCTCATTTGATTCCTGTGACCTTGTAAGGCACGCGGGACAAGTGTTCTTTCTTGTTAGAGATGAGGAAGTAAACTCCTCCAAGGGCACCCCTCCCAGCCCCAGGCCGGAGCGCAAGGCCACGTGCCAGCCGTCGAGGGAGGCCACAGGTCACAGACAGGCTCGTCCTCCCAGAGCGTCGACGGTTTGGGGGAGGGAAGGTGTTCGCGCCTGCCCTGCTCAGACTAGTACCACAGCTGGCCGAGCAGAACCGACAGGCGCCAAGGGCCGGCCGAGCGCTGGCCTGGATGGAGTGTGCTCTCATTCCCCCGGGGACGGCAGCAGGCTGGGGTCAGGTCTGAGAGGCTGCCTGGGAGGCAAGTGCTTGTTCATTCCCCCTCCGACATCTTCAAGGTAGAATTAGAAATGGCCCAGGTTTCTTGATTCTACTGCAGTGCTGTCCCCACCACACAGGTGTCCATTCTGGTTTTGTTGGTGCAGCCACTGGTGCCCTTACCCCCAAACGGGCAACCCGTTCCCCCCCCAGGAACGAGAGACCGTGGCTTCCGTTCAGTCCGCTTCCTCATGCGTACTTTTATTAGGCAATAGACTAGTTAAGAAAATTGTTTCTATGTACTGTATATTTTGTACCTGTTTACACTTCTAATATTGATATAACTGATATTTTGAAAAACAGATGAAGAGGAAACATCCCGTTAAAATAAAACCTAACCAGCACCAAGACGGTTTGGTGGGTTCCGTTCTTAGGCCTGTGTCGCTGGACACTGATGCCTCTAGACCCTCCTCCCAGGGGAGCCGTGTGGCCAGCTTCCTCAGCACCCTTCTACACGCGGTCACCTCAGACCCAGGCAGGCCACCGCCCCTCAGAGCTAGGAGTGGAAGAATCCAGAAAAGCTCGACTCCGTGGAGGGAAAACTGTAACAGTCTGGTCACTTTGCCTCAGAACGGAGTCCTGGTTTGTGTCCGTCGTCTTTATGTAGCGTGACGGGAGGCGCGTGAGGCTGGGTCTGGGAGAATGTCCAAGAAAAGCGGATGCGGGTGTTCTCTCGGCGCGTGGTGTCTCTGCCGGCCCGCAGTCGCTGAGCCCCTGGTCCGGGAGTGGAGGCCGCCCGACACCATGTTCCCATCAACCGGAGTCAGCCGCTGTTAATGTTCTAGTCTCGTGCGTTCAGTCTTTTTCACTTTGATCTTTGTCTTTTTAAGAAAATGAAACGTACAATAAACTCTGCGTAAACTTGCCACGAGGGCCTGGGAGTGGGGCGTGGAGAAAGTGAGCGTGGGTCTCCTCTGGGCTCTTCGGGACGATGGCGGCGCCCTCCTCAGCGGAGGCCCTGCCCTCCCCTCCCCTGCTGGACGTGTCGCCAGTACCTGGAAGTCAGGCAGGGAAGCTTCTGGTGTGTGCAGGGCTCACCGTACCGCCGCCTCGCCGCCGCGATCGGACGTCCCCACACGCCCTCCCGCCACACGCTCTCTGCACAAATCCCGAGTATCCTGCCAAAGCCTCCAGCCACTTAGTGGCTCAATCCAGGGGCGATTCCTGAGGGTCTGGCTCTGGTGCTCATGGGCAGAACAGGCTTGGGGGGCCGGGGAGGGGGGTTGGTTAGAGTTCAGTATCCACATCCAGAAGGGGCGCCCCCATCAGCAGTTAGGGAGACCAGGCAAGCACGTGGGCTGGGGGCCCCACCGCTGCTCGGAAGCCCCCGCCTCAGGCCAGAGCACTGCGCTCCCTGCTTGCTGAGCGCCCGTTTGCTGCTGTAACAAATAACCGCAAACTTTGCAACTGAAACCGGTACAGATGTATTTTATGCCTCTGGAGGTCAGAAGTCCAAAATGAGCCTTACGGAGCTAAAATCAAGGTGTCAGTAGAGCTGCGTTCCTTCTGGAATCCAGGGGAGAATCCCCTGCCTCGCCTTTTCCAACTTCGAGGCCGCCTGCCTTGGTTCGCCTTCAGTGGGGGTTACTCCAACCTCTGCTTCTAACATCTCATCTTTTTCTGGCTTTGACTCTCTTGCCTCCCTCTCAGAATCGTTTTCTTTTTTAAATTTATCCATTTATTTTGAGAGAGAGAGAAAGAGTGCGTGCGCACAAGGCAGGGAGGGGCGAAGAGGGAGGGAGAGAGAATGCCAAGCAGACTCTGTGCTATGAGCACAGAGCCCCATGCAGTGCTCGAACCCACAAACTTCACCATGAGATCATGACCTGAGACAAAACCAACTGACTGAGCCACCCAGGCACCCCTCCCTCTCAGAATCCTGCAATTCCGTTGGGCCACCCAGCTAATCCAGAATAATCACTTCATCAGAAGATCCTAATTTAATCACATCTAAAACGTCTCTTCTGCCAAGTAAGGTAACATAGTCACAGGTTCTAGGGATTAAGATGTGGACATCTTGGCGAGGGGAGCGTTTTTGGCTTTAACACACTTTCCAAATCCTGGGGCAATGCTCATCTCCTCCCTGAGGCCAGGCCACATCTTCCACAGAGGCTCCCATGTTCTGGCACCAAAATAACATGCTTAAGCGAGAACAGCTGAGGTCCGTCGTGCCCAGCCACTCCTTCATCTCCGCCACCCCCTGTCGCCTACAGAAAGGTGCCCGTCTGCTGCCTGCCTCCTCCCGACATCTTTTTCACCTTCATCTTTCTACACCTTTGTTCTATTCCTGATGCGTCCAAAGATGGCCCCCATCCCTTCCGACTTTCCATTGTTAAGTAGCTACGTCTTTGTCGCGTTCCCAGGCAGACTTAAGACAAGAAGGGTCAGCTGTGCCTTAACTGTTCCGAAACCATCCAGATCTTTGAAGATCGTGCTGGGCCCTTTGGCTATGTTATGCCTCCATTCGTGGGAAGACAGCCATCCTCTGAGGTTTCTGTCCCCTTCTCTCGTTTATCAGACTTTATTCCACATGGTTGAAGGCTTGCCGGAGTCCTGGGTCTCCAGGGCGTAACTCCCACCCCGTCCTGCCCCACCCCATCCCTCATTCTGACCCAGGGTGGCCTTTCTAACTGGGAAATCAGCCCACTCTCGGGCGGGGCTTAAGGGACTCCTGTGACTCCCGTTGAAAACCCAAATTGCAGCCCGGCCTCGCTGACCCCTCAGGAGGCGGCCCCTCCCTGTCTTCATCTCGGCTCTTGCGTCTCCCCCTGCAGGTGAACTGAACTGCCCGTCCTCCCTGAGGACCACACTGTTCCATACAATGTCCTGCCTCCTTGCCCCTCCCCCATCGCCTGCTACACTCCTTACCCCTCGGGTCATGGCTCAGCGTCACCCAGCTGTCCTGGGTCTATGCCGGCGGCACCCATGCCTCTCCTGTTTCCCGCAGACACTTGCTCAGCCTCCTCCTTTCACCCTCTTAGACTGTCCCCTCCTTCATATATAATGTGTTGCTGGAAATGTGTATAAGGGTGTACATATAAAGATAAGGCAGTGCACTTACAAACCATAAAGAAGGCTTTATTCCCCGACAGCTATAAACAAAGTTCCTGATTTGACATAATTGTCAAGTTCCTTTTAACCCCGAGTAGTGTACAATTTACACATGATTATTTTAAAACGTTAAACACACAATTTAGACATGAAATATATACACTTAAATGACTGGGCAAACAGTATTTTAAAACGGGCAAAAATATAATAAATGCAAATATTGTGGGTTGTATTACCTGATATAAAGGGGCACCTGGGTGACTCAGTTGGCTAAGCATCCAACTTTTGATTGCAGCTCAGGTCATGATCTCAGGGTTCGGGAGTTCGAGCCCCACATCGGGCTCTGCACTGACCTCACAGAGCCTGCTTGGGTTTCTCTCTCTCTCTGCCCCTCCCCTGCTCATGCTCACTCTCTCGCAAAATAAGTAAACATTTTTTAAAAACCTGCTATAAACATCTGGAAGTTCCAGATGGGATATAATACATGTAATTTTAAATACAGAGCTGTGAAAGGAATAAAGGGAAATCCTAGTGTACCGGAAACGAAGACAAAATAACGCCCACATTGTAGGCATGCAAGTAGCCGCTGCACCTAACAGGTGGGAGCAAGGAGGAGGGTATACAGGCCTTGGGTCCAGGAAGGTCAGAGTTGGAACTGCCCCCTCCTCCAGAGAAAGTCCCTTGAAGGCCCCTCCTCAGAAAATACATGGTTCAGGAAAAAATGCAACCCAGCCCTGAAAGGTAGTATGTCAGTTGAGTCCTCGGGAAGCAGATGCTGAGACATAGTTTGAAGTGCGGGAGGTTTACTGAGGAGTAATGTCTATAAAAGGTAAAGGCAGGAGGAAGCAGGATTTTGCAGGCAAAGAAGTCTCAGCATCCTTGGACACAAACTCAGCATCCTTGAAAGGAAAGAGAAGGGCAAGCAGGTCTGAGCAGCAGGAACAGAACACACTAGAACATATTTTGGCTCTGACAGAGTTTCAGCCAACCAGTCAAAGGCTTCTTCTGAAGCAAATAGTTTCTGTCAGAGGCGGCCCGCGCTGAGCAGAAATGCCCAGGACCTAAGACCCCGCCTGCTCCCTCATTGGCTGGGGCCGCCCCAGGACAGTGTGGCCTTAGCTTGAAAGCCTGGGCATTTCTGGAAGGTGCTAATAACTGGAGCTTTCCGCTAACTGCACTCCTTGTAGCTGATGGTAAACTCTTAAAGATCTGAGTGGCGTAACTCCATGGCTGCCGCAGGTGGCAGAAGGCTTACGTCTCAGGCTGGGCTCTGGGAGATGGTAGTGGATGGGGCGATACCTTCCTTGAGAATCCAGCTTCTACCTCATGGAGGTTTTTTCAAATTTACATACCCACACAGCTGATCAACTGACATAAAAGCTGGACCTAGGCCAATGGTAGCGCTTGACGTTTCTGGCGGAAGGAAACCCCAAAAGAGGAGGAACTATCTCACAACCCAGACCACAAGCCTGGCTCAATATAAGCTCACAATCACAAATTGCAAACCCACAAGGAAATAGTCCACCATGGGTGACAATGTAACAAGCAGCAGGATCAAAGTCCAAGAACTTGAATTCATGTAAAGACCATCCAAACTAGGGACGCCTGAGGGGCTCATGCTGGTTAAGCATCCGACTTCAGCTCAGGTCATGATCTCACTGTTCGTGGGTTCGAGCCCCGCATCGGGCTCAGTGCTGACAGCTCAGAGCCTGGAGCCTGCTTTGGATTCTGTGCATGTCTCTCTGTCTCTGCCCTCCCCCACTCGTGCTCTATCACCTTCTGTCTCTTAAAAATGAATAAATGTTAAAAATTTTTTAAAAGAAAAAAGATCATCCAAAATAGAATGTCATAGGAACAGGTTTACAAGACTTAAAACTAACAGAGGGCAGAAAGTGGAAGAAGCAGCATGGGAAAAGCAAGATAAATGGGGAAAAAAATGAACCTTAAGAAAAATCAAGATTCTATTAAAAAGAAAGTGACATTTGAGAAACAACAAAATGTCTGGAGATAAAATAATCACTGCAATTTAAAAACTCAATGGACGAGGTAAACAACAGATCTAGATACAGTTGAAAAGAATTAGTGAAATGAAATATAATGAGAAGAATACTCAGAATGAAGGACAGAGAGAGAAAATGATGCATGGAAATATATGATATGTTTAAAAGCGTAGACTAGAAACACCTACCACACATCTATCTAATCAGATTTTCTCATCTATAAAGAGATAATTAAGAAATTAGGAGGAAGGACTCCTGGGTGGCTCAGTTGGTTGAGCATTAGACTCTTTTTTTTAATG